TGTGGGGCCTGAACTCTGGGCCTGGGCGCTGTCCCTCAGCTCTTTAGCTCAAGGCTAGCGCTCTACCACTTGAGCCACAGTGCCACTTCCGGCTTTTTCTGCTTATGTGTTTCTGAGGAATCGAATCCAGGGCCTCATGCCTGCGAGGCAAGCACTGTAGATTTCTGAGCAAGTGGAATGTGGAGGAACATCTGGAGTTCTCTCTTCTCTCCTCCATTTGGAAGCCAGGCTGGAAAGCGCCCTGGTGCCTTCTTCCCTGTCCGATGAGAGGAGAGGGCAGGGAACCTGAGTGTTCATCTGTGTCTCTGCCTGGTCCTCGTTTCCAAGGCCACTGCTGCTTCCCCTGCAGCCCGATCGCTTTGCACCACAGGCTCTCCACGCCACCGCTGCCGCCTCTGCATGGCCCCTGCTTAGGTCTGATCGAAGTGTGTGGGAACTTTCCATTGAGATAGTCTATATTGCATTCACTGACCTTGCTTTCTCTTGCTTCACCTCCCCACAGCATACATCCCTGTACTTGGTTCACATTTGTAGTTTCTTTCCTGACTTTATTCATATTCTTTTTGTAGAGGTTGCCTGTGTCGTTACAGTTGGGTGTGTTGATCTTGTTCATCCCTCCCATGGTGGTATGGTGGTGGTCCTAGGGCTTGAACTCGGAGCTCTCGTCTTCTTGCTTGTTTTCTTTTTTTTTTTTTTCTCAAGGCTGGCACTCTACTACTTGAGTCACAGTTCTACTTCTAGATTTTTGCTGGTTAATTGGCGATAGGCTGGCTTCAAACCTCAATCCTCAGATCTCAGCTTCCTGAGGAGCTAGAATTCTAGGTATGAGCCACTGGTGTCCGGTTCCTGCTTTGTTTCTGCCTGTAGCTTCATGCTTTACCAGGGCCCTCTCTCCATTTATTTCTTCTTTGTGCCCACGCTGCATCTTGGGGATATTGTGAGGACACCCCTGCACTGGCAGCTGGGCCCTCCTGGCCTGCTGCACCCCATCGCAGTACTCATAGCGAGGGTGTTCAGGCTCTGCTCCATGCTCCTGTGACTTGAGTTCTGAGGCCTGGTTGTCACTCTGCTGCCTGGGGGGGGGGCTCACTCACATTCTGCTTCCCCTCTGATGTTCTTGAAGACCAGGGGTTCTGTGACTCTTCTGTCTGGAGTGCTCAGTCCGCTTCAGCATAAAGGCACAGCAGAAAGAAGCCACAGACTCATATTTTCAGACTTCCTGACTTCTTACCAATGCCATCAGATGAGCCTTTGTTTTATATATATATATATATATTTAATGTCGGTCGTGGGGCCTGAACTCTGGGCCTAAGCGGTGTCCCTCAGGTCTTCAGCTCAAGGTGAGCGCTCTACCACTTTAGCTACAGTGCCACTTCTGATTTTCTGAGTGTTTATTGGAGATAAGAGTTTCACGGATTTTCCTGCCTCGGCTGGCCTTGAACCACAATCCTCAGATCTCAGCCTCCTGAGTAGCTAGGATGACAGGCGAGAGCCACCAGCACCTGGCGCTGGGGGTTTTTGATTAGTTGTGTGAAGCAGCAGTGTTAGGCAATAAGTGAGCAGGGAAGTCTCCAAAAAGGAAGAGGCCTCTACCTGGCCCTTAGTGTATCGAGTTCTTGATGCACAAAAAAGAATTTAAAGACACAATGAGGTAGAGACCAAGGAAGTTTATTAGTAAAACAAGAAAGGTAGTTCACAGTCCAGACGTGGATATATGTATATTCAGTAAAAGGTGCAAAACTGTTCGATGTCACAGGTATGTATAGTGAAACAGAAGGTTGGGCTTCAGATAAGTGCTCTGGTACATTTCTTGATGTTACACTGTCTAATCAGAAGTTGGCCTGTAATACACCTGGTCATTGCTGTATGGGCATCCTTTCAAACAGAGGAGGAATTATGCCGTATGCCCCTCAAGACAGGTGCCTTCCTTAAGATAGGCTTTATTATCTTTATTTGTTGTTGGTCCTGGAGCTTGAACTCCAGGCCTGGGTGCCTGTCCCTGAGCTCTTTCACTCTACCACTTTTGAGCCACAGCGCCACTTCTGGGTTTCTGGTGGTTCATTGAAGAGTCTCACAGACTTTCATGCCCAGGCTGGCTTTGAACCGAGATCCTCAGATCCCAGCTTCCTGAGTAGCCTGGATGACAGGCGTGAGCACCTGGCTGATAAGGATCATTGCTTAGTTTGCAAAGCAAACAGATTGTTTTGGGAAAGCAGGAGAGGCCAGGGGGAGAGGGCTGCTGTGCTTGTACGGATACCGAAGCATACGAGGGGTGATAAGTGCTCACGTATATGTATATCGTGTGTGTGTGTGTGTGTGTGTGTGTGTGTGTGTGTGTGTATCTATCTGTGTATCTTTTGCTGGTTGTGGGGCTTGAACTCAGGACTGGGTGCTGTCCCTAAGCCTCTTTGTGTTCAAGGCTAATGCTTTACCTCTTGAGCCACAGGTCCGCTTCTGGCTTTTTCTGAGTGGTTTATTGGAGATAAGAGTCTCATGGACTCTTCTGCCTGGGCTGGCTTTGAACCGTGATCCTCAGATCTCAGCCTCCTGAGTAGCTGGGATTGCAGGTGTGAGCCACCAGCACCCAGCTCATGCTTATGTATTTCTAATAGAGCTACTCCATACAGTGTGTGAATTCATGGCTGCTGTTTCCCATGGTTCATTTTCCCTAATCTACCCTGACTCAGTTGTAGCTTGGGGGGTTATCCACCAGGGCCCTCTCTCCATTTATTTCCTCTTTGTGCCCACGCTGCATCTTGGGGATATTGTGAGGACACCCCTGCACTGGCAGCTGGGCCCTCCTGGCCTGCGTCTAAGGTCAGGGCTGAAGTCAGCCTCTGCTGTGGGACCACTCTGCTGGGCCAGGAGCAGCCCGGGCTCCCGGGCTTGGAGAGGGCAGAGGCAGGGCTAGCAGGAGGAACTGTGCTTGTCCAGGTGCCTGGGTCAGTGCTTCTGTGTAGCTGTGCTTTGCAGGACTTAGCACAGGGAGGAGAGGGGCGCAGCGTGTTGAGGGCTCTGGCTCTGCTGCCTCCATTTCCCCAGATGAATTCATTCAGATTCTTCATCAGAAAAGCACTCTCCTTGCCCCTGATAACAGGGGTGCATCGAGGGTAGGAGGCTGCATCTTGGTTCGAGGCAGTGCCTAGGTGTGGGACTTAGGATGGCCTTGTGCCAGCCTGGAGCTCCTGCCTGACCCACGGATGTGTTGCTCCTCAGGGACCTCTCCCACAACCTGCTCCACACGCTGGACGCTGGGCTCCTGGCAAACCTCTCTGCGCTGGTGGAGCTGTGAGTGTCCTCCCTCCTGCCCAGTCCTGCTGGCCTGCGGGGGTGTCTCAGGGTGCACAGGGCTGCCTGCCCCTGCCTGTCGCGTTACAGGGCTCCCGTCACACCGCCGCCTCTTCCTCTTTTCCCAGGGATATAAGCGACAACAAGATTTCTACATTAGAAGAAGGAGTATTTGCTAATTTATTTAATTTAAGTGAAATGTGAGTTGCTTTGCTTTGGTGGGTATGGTGTCCCTGCCCTCCCGTTTTGGCCTGACTGTCCCTGGAGTTGGCATCAGACCCTGCTCTCCTGCCGGCCTGTGCCCCAGCCCCGCCCTCCCTTGCAGAAACCTGAGTGGGAACCCATTCGAGTGCGACTGCGGCCTGCTATGGCTGCCACGCTGGGTGGAGGAGCGGCGGGTCCGCATGGCGCCAGCCAGGGTGGCCACGTGTGCTGGGCCCGGCCCGTTGGCTGGCCAGCCCCTCGATGTCACCTTGCTGAGTGGAGGCTGTGGTGAGTGCAGGGCGTGTGTGGCCTGTGCAGGGCAGTGTAGGCCTGGGGAAAGCCCTCCTTTCTGGGGATCAGAAAGACCTCTCTGGAGAGGGGCAGGGCTGTGGGGTGGGGTCTGACTTGGAGTCGAGGGAGAGTGCCGGGACCACAAAGTAGACCGCGTGCGTGTCTGTCCTAGGTGAGGAGTACATCGCCTGCCTCCCTGACAACAGCTCGGGCACCCCTACAGTGGTGGCCCTTTCCTCTGCCCACGAGGGCCCCCTGGAACCCGAGGCCTGTGGTGCTCTCTGCTTCTCAGCCAGCAAGGGCCTCGCAGCCCTGGCGGAGCAGGGCCGGTGTGTCTGCGGTGCACTCCAGCTGCCCAACACCTCTGCGGCCTGCCAGTCCCTGTGCTCCAGCCTCCTCCAGCCCCGCAGCCCCACCTGCAGCGGCCCCACACTCCTCCGGAACGTCTTCCCAGCCTCCCCTGGGGCCACCCTGGTGGGGCCCCATGGACCCCTGGCCTCTGGTCGGCCAGCAGCCTTCCATATCGCTGCCCCTCTGCCCATCGGCTCCACACACTGGGACTTTGGAGATGGCTCTCCAGGGGTGGATGTGGCTGGCTCAGCTGCCACCCACCGATATGCACTGCCTGGACGCTATCACGTGACAGCTGTGCTGGCCATGGGGTCTTCCTCTGCCTTGCTGGGGACAGAGGTGCGCGTGGAGGCAGCCCCTGCTGCCCTGGAGCTCCTGTGCCCAGCCTCTCTGCACAGTGATGAGAGCCTCAGAATCAGCATCCGGAACCGCGGAGGCTCGGCCCTTGAGGCCACCTACACCATCCTGGCTCTGGATGAGGAGCCAGTGAGAGGTAGGTGCCTGCCTAGCTGCCTGAGCCCCTTGTCTCCCCTTTCCCCCAAGGTCAGGGCCAGGCAGAGCCTGGTGCTTTGGCCACAGGCTCATAGTGATGCCCTGTTCTCTGCTACTCTTCCCCAGTGGTGCACCCGCTCTGCCCTTCGGACACAGAGATCTTCCCTGGCAGTGGGCACTGCTACCGCCTGGTGGCAGAGAAGGCACCCTGGCTGCAGGCTCAGGAACAATGCCGGACCTGGGCTGGGGCTGCCCTGGCCATGGTGGACAGCCCTACCATCCAGCGCTTCCTGGTCTCCCAGGTTACCAGGTGCCTGCCCCAACTCCCGGAAAGGCCACAGGCAGATGGGGGGTTTGCTCAGCATGCTGAGATGGTAGCAGAGCCTAAAGCTTGTGGAGGAGGAGAGATGGGGGCCGTGTCCTGCCCTGCAGACCTTCTGCAGCTTCCCAAAGCCCTGTGTGATGAATCACAGTGGCAGCCGGGCTCAGGCCCCTGGCCCGTCCCCGCCCATCATGGGAGGAGCTGAGCCCTGTTGACAGGGCCGTTCCCTGGGCCTCCTGGCAGCTGTGAGGCTGTGCTGCTGCTGTTTGTGGCTTCTTGCTCCCGTCCCGCCTGGAGTGGGCCAGGGCTGCTGTGTGCACTGGAGAGCACGTTGGGCTCCTGCTTTCTCCAGCCTTGTGGAGACGTGCAGTGGGCCAGGCCCTCATTCTGTGACTCCAGTTTTCTTGTTTGGGGTAGAGGTGGAAGTGAGACTTGACCAACCTCCTCGGGTCTCTGTGCTGGGTCAGAGCAGGGAAGGATGCCTGTTATCTCAGAGGCTGATCATACCCTGTGCATTAGCAGGGGCCAGAGGGAATCTAGATCTCCAGTGCTGAGTTCTTCCCCAGGGCCATGTAATTAGTAGATGACATTGGCATGGAGATCTGGGGCCACAGCGTGGCCCTTCCCACCCCGGGTGTGGGGCCCATGCCTGTGTCTTCACATCTTCTTGGGCCTGTACTTCCAGGCAGGGCTCGCACCTCTGCAGAGGTGTCGGTTGGCTCCACTGGATGTCTTGGCCTCTGCAGCAGCAGCCTCCCTGCAGGCCACGGTGGGGGTGGCCTGGGCCCTCAGAGCTGAGGCAGAGCGTCAGAGCTCCTGCCTGTGCCCAGCAGCCCTGTAGGCATAAGCTGCCCAGTAGATGCGGCTGTGGGCTTGGATAGTGAGCCTTGCTTGCCATGTCTGTTTCCCCATGTGGAGAATGAGGATGGTGGTAGGTTCCACCTGCCAGGGTGCTTGGAGGGGGGTGCCCATGAGGACTGCTGCTTGCTGAGTGGCCTACCCTCCCTGCTGTCCTCCTGCAGGGGCCTGGACGTGTGGATTGGATTCTCCTCTGTGGAGGGGGCAGAGGCGGGCTTGGCGCCCCAGGGCGAGGCCTTCAGCCTAGAGAGCTGCCAGAACTGGCTGCCAGGAGAGCCGCACCCGGCCACTGCCCAGCACTGTGTGCGCCTGGGCCCCGCCGGGCAGTGCAACACAGACCTGTGCTCCGCGCCCCACAGCTATGTCTGTGAGCTGCGGCCTGGAGGTGCGCGGGAGACAGGGTCACCGGTGCTGCTTCTCCCTGCATTTATCCTTCGATGTTCCGTGCTGGCTCTTACTCCTTGGATGAGGCTGTACCAGGAAACATAAAACAGCAGATGGAGGGAGCTGGAGGGGGGAGCTGCTGCGGGCTCAGAGCGGGGTCGGGCCCCGCCCTGGATGTGCCCGCTGTCTCTGGCCTGGCCCTGGTGCCTTATTGCATACTCACCACCTCCAGGCCCCGTGTGGGATGCTGAGAACTTCCTCGAGGGAGTGCCTGATGGGGGCCTGCAGGGGCCCCTGAGGCCGCTGGCACGGCAGGAGGCCCTCCTGGCCCCTCAGCAGCCCTTGGAGGTAGGCCAGCCCTCTCTCAGCTAGAACTCCTGTGCCTCTCAGGCCTTGCCTTACCCAGCTGCTGTCTGTTTGAAAGTCAAGTTGGGGACTGGGGTGTGGCTCAATGGTAAGAGCACCTGCCTAGCATGTGCCAGGTCCTGGCACTGGGGGAACAAAGGCTGTCAGTGGCTATAAATGCTAGCTTCTCAGGAGGCTGAGGATTGAGGTTCAAAGCCAGCCTGGGCAGGAAAAGTCCGTGAGACTCTTACCTGCAATTAACCACCAAAAAGCCATAAATGAGCAAAAAGGCTAAGGGGCAGTACCTAGGCCCAGAGTTCAATCTTTAGTACTAGCACAAAAAAACAAAAAAAGGCCAGGTGCCGGTGGCTCACGCCTGTCATCTTAGCTACTCAGGAGACTGAGATCTGAGGATCATGGTTCAAAGCCAGCCAACACAAGAAAGTCCATGAGACTCTTATCTCCAATAAACCACCAGAAAACTGGAAGTAGCGCTGTGGCCCACGTGGTAGAGCGCTCGCCTTGAGCTGAAGAGCTGGAGGAACAGCGCCCAGGCCCAGAGTTCAAGCCCCACGACCAACAAAAAAAAAGAAAAAAATGATGTTGGTTTGGTTAGCAGAGGCTTCTTAAAGTTGTTTGTGCCCAGTGAAGACAGTTCAGAAAGTCCTTGGTGCACAAAGATGAGAGGCATCTAAGCATCGAATGCCCGCCCAGGGCCCCCCGCACCGCTCCCGGGCCTCTGCTCTGTGCATTACGCCTCCTAGGGACCCTACTGCTCCCAGAGGGTTTGGATCAGGTTTTTTGAATTCCCAAGTGACGTGAAATGAAGCTTGGGGGCTTCCTGGTGGTAGCTTCCCCAGGTGGGGTTGGGCCCTGGGGTGGGGTCTCTGGTGCTGAGGCAGCCTCTCCCCACCAGCTCATAGTGTTGCCTGGCCCGAGCCGTGAAGCCTTTCTTACTGCAGCAGAATTTGGAATCCAGGAACTTGGGGGGCCTGCACAGCTGCGGCTGCAGGTGTTCCGGCCCTCAGGAGGAGCAGGTAGGTCTCTGGGGTTCAATTAGGCTAAGCCTCAAGAAGACAGCAGAGTCTCAGAGGTGCCAGCTCTTACTCTGCATGTCGGGGATGGAGTGGGTAGGGTGCCCCAGTGGCGGGGGAGTGTTGGTGTGGGCCGGGGCTCCACCTGATCAGGACTGGTCTTAACTAAGGTAGGGCCTACTGCTGGGTCAGGCCCCAAGTACCTTCCTGTCTTTGTAGTAGCCCCAGAAAGTAGCAGTGAGCCTGAAAACGTGACCGAGCCAGGCCCCGGCTGTCTACTGGAGGAGCACTGGTGTCCTGGGGCCAATGTCTGTGTGCCAGTGGATGCCTCCTGCCACCCTCACGCCCCTGCCCGTGGGTCTGCATCGGGGCCCCGGCTCCCCGGGGTCGCGCACACACTGTGGAGGGAGTTCCTGTTCTCCGTGCCTGCAGGCCCCCCCACGCGCTACTCGGTATGCGCCACCACTCTGGGCGTGTCTCCCTCTGACCAGCTCCTGGGCCACTCCCCCTTATCACCCCACAGTCCTCGTGTTCCACCAGACAGTTTAAGCCCCCGCCTCCTGCACCTCTTCCCTCCTCCAGCCTGAGTGGTCTTCCCCCTTCTCTCTGTAAGGGACAGCCGGCTTCTTTCGTCCTGTCCCTCAAGCCTTCCCATGGAGGGCAGCCCCATGCATATCTTCTTCGTCTGCACCGGCCTGTTTGTCATGCCATGAGCCCCCGGGGGTAGGCGTTGCACACAGCCACCAGGAGCCCTGACTCCCCACTCACCCCATGGGATTTGCCCCGTGGTTCTTGCGCAGGCTCTTACTCTGGGGTGTGATGGAGGCCTGTCTCCTCTCATAGGTCACCGTCCATGACCAAGACATCCTGGTGCTTCCTGGTGACCTCATCGGCTTGCAACATGACGCTGGCCCGGGTGCCCTACTGCAGTGTCCCTTGGGATCCAACCATCCCGGCCTTGAGGTTTTGTACTTCTCCACCAACGCTTCCGTTTGGCTGGCCAGCCTGCCTGCCCAGGTGGAGGGGGCTCAGACTGGCCCTGCCTGTGCCCTGCAACTGCGCTTAGCCACAGAGCAGCTTACCGTGCTACTGGGCCTGACGCCCAATCCTGGGCTGCAGCGTCCTGGGCGCTACAAGGTTCAGGCCACAGTGGGCAACAGCGTGTCCAGTCACAACCTGTCCTGTGGCTTCAGTGTGGTCTCCCCGCTGACGGGGCTGCGCGTCGTCCACCCCGCCCTCCTTGATGGCCACCTCTACATACCCACCAATGGCTCGGTCTTGGTGCTTCAGGTGGATTCTGGTGCCAGTGCCACAGCCACAGCCAGCTGGTCCGGGGGCCACATCACTGCCCCCTTCGAGGCTGCCTGCCCCTCTGTGGGGGCCACCTTCCAGCCTGACTGCACAGGAGAGGCCAATCACACCTGGTTCTCGGTGCTGGCCCTGCCCCGGCTCAGCGAGGGGGAGCACGCAGTGGAGATTGTAGCCCAGAACCGCGACAGCCGGGCCAACCTCAGCCTGAGGGTGACCGCTGAGGAGCCCATCCGTGGCCTCCGAGCTGTGCCCAGCCCTGAGGCCCGGGTGCTGCAGGGTGTTCTGGTGGTGAGTGTGTCCTTTCTCTGCCCCTCCGTCCTCCATGGTGTGCACGGGTGGGGACAGGGAGGGAGCCACACGGATGTTTCTGGAGAGGTTCAGTAGGGTCTGGCAGGTCCTTTCAGGGTCCTGCAGGTTGACGTGGCAACTTGGTCAGGTGACGTGCTCCCTTTCCCAGGTGGCACTGCGCTTCACCTGAGGGACTCCGTGGAGCCTGGGGTGGGAGCTGGGGAGGACCCCAGAGGCAGGCGGACTCTTGCTGGGCCTGGGCCCACTTTGCAGATGCAGAAAGGGAGGCACAGGGAGGCCAAGGCCACGTGACAAGGTGGAAAGCTGGCTTTGACCAGGGCCTTGGTACCTAAGCATGTGCTGGGTGTTAAGGACAGACGCCAGGATGGCCTGGCCCCTCTGCCCGCCCCTATACAGGGTAACTTGTCACCGCTTAGCTAGTGGCCCTCATGTCCCCTCCGCTCTTCAGGAACTCTGAGGGTGGCATGTCGATTGTGGCTGAGGGTAAAGCCAGCCTCAGAGCAGGGCAGAGTCACAGCCTGGCCCATGCCATGTCCACCCACAGCGGTACAGCCCCATGGTAGAGTCTGGCTCAGACGTGGTCTTCCGGTGGACCATCGATGACAAGCAGTCCCTGACCTTCCACAACGTCGTCTTCAACGTCATCTACCAGAGTGCCGCCATCTTCAAGCTCTCAGTAGGCTGGGGTCGGGCGGGGACTGGGGGTGCTGGGATGTGAGGGTGCTCACCTTTGCCTTCTCTTCTTCCTTGCTTTGCCCTCGAGGACCCTGCTGTGGCTGTGGGTGAGTGTGGACCGGCGGTGTGAATCGGGGCTCTGGGCTCTTTGCTTGTTGGTCTGTCCTTGTGGTTGCCTCTGGCCCTATGTCCACCGAGCCCTGTCTTCTCTTCTCAGCTGACAGCCTCCAATCACGTGAGCAATGTCACCGTGAACTACAACGTCTCCGTGGAGCGGATGAACAGGATGCGGGGTCTTCGAGTATCTGCGGTGCCAGCTGTGCTGCCCCTCAATGCCACGCTGGAGCTGATGGCCAGTGTGCTGGTGGACGCGGCTGTGGAGGTGGCCTTCCTGTGAGTGCGGCTGGGCCTGCTGGGAGGCATGGCCAGCCGGGTAGGGCCTGGTAGGGCTGGGATTCCAGCGTTGGCCTTGGGGTCCCGGTGGAGAAGTTGAGAGCTGCTCTTTTTTTTTGAAGTCTTAGCAAGGATTTATTTTAGCGTAACAAGTTTAAAAGGGAGAAATAGAAGAGACAGGGAGAGTGGCTTTCTGGGTCCTTGTTCCCTCCACACTAAGAGGCTGCTGCACAGGGACCCCGCAGGCACGTGGCGGGGCAGAGATGCAGCTGTGTCCAGCCACAGGAGCGCCTGCAGGGAGCTGCGGCCGGGACTTAGGGGCTCCCCACTGTGTGTGAGCAGCCAGCCCGGCCACCTGCCCCTCCCTGGTACACTGACCACCTGCCTACTGCCCGGCAGGTGGACCTTTGGAGATGGCGAGCAGGTGGTTGGCCAGTTCAAGCCTCCGTACGGTGAGGCCTTCCAGGTCCCAGACCCCACGGTGGCCCAGGTGCTGGTGGAGCACAATGCCACACACACCTATGCCAGCCCAGGTGAGCAGCTGGCCCTCTCCTGGGGGTGGCACACCCGAGAGGGGCCCTCATCTCCCCACTCTGACTGACCCCTCGCCTGGGGTGCCACTGAGGCCTTTACTCAGTCGAAGGGGTGTGTGGAGGGATGGACCATCCCAGTTGAATTTTCCAGAAGTTAGAAGAGGGTCAGCATTTAACGTGTAAAATTCTAGCCGCCTCACATGGTGCTGGCCCGTGTCCCACGGGGAATAGCCTGCCGCCCCGCGCGTGCTGCGCACGGCCAGGCCCAGGAATGCCCCATCCTCTCAGCACAGCCTGGGCTGGGTGCCGGGCGGGGATCCTGTGCGCAGGACGCTGCACGTGGGCCTCTCCACAGGCGAGTACAACCTGACCGTCCTCGCGTCCAACACCTACGAGAACATGACGCAGCAGGTGCCCGTGAGCGTGCGCCCCGCGCTGCCCAGCCTGGCTGTGGGAGCCAGCCGCAGCGTGCTGGTGGTGGGCCAGCCCGTCACCTTCTCCCCGCATCCTCGGCCCTTGTCTGGCGGCATCCTGTACGCGTGGGATTTTGGGGATGGCTCCCCTCGCCTGGTGCAGAGCCAGCCAGCCGTGAACCACACCTACCTCCACCCCGGCACCTACCGCGTCAGCCTGGAGGTGAACAACACCGTGAGCAGCGTGGGGGCGTACACCGATGTCCACGTCTTCCGGGAGCTGCGTGGCCTGAGCGTGCACCTGAGCCCGGCGGTGGAGCAGGGAGCCCCTGTGGCGGTGCAGGCGGCTGTAGAGACGGGTGACAACGTGACGTGGACATTCGACATGGGGGATGGCACCATGTTCACGGGCCCCGAGCCCACGGTGCAGCATGTGTACTTGCGGGCACAAAACTATACAGTGACAGTGGTTGCAGCCAGTCCTGCAGGCCAGCTGACCCAGAGCCTGCCCGTGCAGGTCTTTGTCCTGGAGGTGCTGCGCGTTGAGCCTGCCACCTGCATCCCCGTCCAGCCCGAAGCCCGCCTCACAGCTCATGTCACCGGGGACCCTGCCCGCTACCTCTTTGACTGGACCTTTGGGGATGGCTCCTCTAACATCACTGTCCAGGGGTGCCCGACGGTGACGCACAACTTCACGCGGAGTGGCACGTTCCCCCTAGCGCTGGTCCTGTCGAGCCGTGTGAACAAGGCGCATTACTTCACCAGCATCTGTGTGGAGCCCGAGCTGGGCAACGTCACTCTGCAGCCCGAGAGGCAGTTTGTACGGCTCGGGGACGCGGCCCGCTTGGCGGCCTGCGCCTGGCCCCCATTCCCGTACCGCTACATCTGGGCCTTCGGCACGGAAGGTGCCGCCCCCACCCAAGCTGGGGGCCCCGACGCTGCGTTCACCTACCGAGAGCCCGGCTCCTACGTGGTGATGGTCACTGCCACCAACAATATCTCAGCCGCCAACGCGTCCGCGCGGGTGGAAGTGCAGGAGCCGGTGGACATCACCGCCATCGGCGTCAATGGCTCCCACGTGCTGGAGATGGGGCGGCCCTACCTGTTCTCGGCTGAGGGCCATGGGCGCCCCGCTACCTACTCCTGGGAGCTGGGGGATGGGGCTCAGCTCGAGGGCGCCGAGGTCACCCACACCTACAGCAGCGCAGGCGGCTTCACCGTCGCAGTGGCCGGCTGGAATGAGGTGAGCCGCAGCGAGGCCCGGCGCAACGTCACCGTGCAGCAGCGCATCGAGGGGCTCGGCGTGAACGCCAGCCGCACGGTGGTGCCCCTGAACGGCAGCGTGAGCTTCGGCACCTCGCTGGAGGCGGGCAGCAACGTGCGCTACTCCTGGGTGCTCTGTGACCGCTGCACGCCTATCCCCGGGGGCCCCACCATCTCCTACACCTTCCGCTCCGTGGGGACCTTCAACATCATTGTCACCGCCGAGAACGAGGTGGGCGCCGCGCAGGACAGCATCTTCATCTACGTTCTCCAGCTCATCGAGGGGCTGCAGGTGGTGGGGGGCGGCGGGGGCTGCTGCTTCCCCACCAACCACACGCTGCAGCTGCAGGCCGCTGTCAGGGATGGCACCAACATCTCCTACAGCTGGACTGCACAGCGGGATGGGGGCCCAGCCCTGACGGGCAGCGGCAAGGGCTTCTCCCTCACGGTGCTTGAAGCTAGCACCTACCGCATCCAGCTGCGGGCCACCAACATGCTGGGCAGTGCCTCGGCCAACCGCACCGTGGAGTTTGTGGAGCCTGTGGGGTGGCTGGGCGTGACTGCCTCCCCCAACCCGGCTGCCGTCAACACGAGCGTCGCTCTCCTCGCTGAGCTGGCCAGTGGCAGCGGGGTCGTCTACACATGGTCCATGGAGGACGGGCTGAGCTGGGAGACGTGGAAGCCGTCCACCACTCACGCCTTTTCCTCAGCTGGCCTGCACCCGGTCAGCGTCGTGGCTGGGAACCAGCTGGGCTCAGCCAACGCCACCGTCGAGGTGGCCGTGCAGGTGCCTGTGAGCGGCCTCAGCATCAGGGCTGGCGAGCTGGACAGCGGCTTCGTGGCAGTGGGGTCCTCTGTGTCCTTCTGGGGGCAGCTGGCAGCGGGCACAGATGTGAGCTGGCGCTGGTCTGTGCTGGGTGGCAGCAAGCATGGCCAGCGCATAGCCCTGAGCTTCCCGGACGCGGGCACCTTCTCCGTGCAGCTCAACGCCTCCAACGCCGTCAGCTGGGTGGCAGCCGCGCACACGCTCACGGTGGAGGAGCCCGTCGCGGGCCTGGCGCTCTGGGCCAGCAGCAAGGTGGTGGCGCCCGGGCAGCCTGTGCACTTCCAGATCCTGCTGGCCGCCGGCTCAGCCGTCAGCTTCCACCTGCAGGCTGGCGGGGCCGGCCCCGAGCTGCTCCCCACCCCCCACTTCTCCCGCAGCTTCTCCTGGGTCGGTGAGCATGTGGTGAGCGTGCAGGCTGAGAACCATGTGAGCCGGGCCCAGGCCCAGGTTCGAATCTTAGTGCTGGAGGCCATCAGTGGGCTACACGTGCTCAACTGCTGCGAGCCTGGCATTGCCACCGGCACCGAGAAGAACTTCACGGCCCGGGTGCGGCGCGGCTCCCGGGCCGCCTACGCCTGGTACTTCTCCCTGCAGAAGGTCCAGGGCGATTCGCTCGTCATTCTTTCTGGCCGCGACGTCACCTACACCCCGGTGGCCGCTGGGCTGCTGGAGATCCACCTGCGGGCCTTCAACGAGCTGGGCAGTGTGAACCTCACGCTGACCATGGAGGTCCAGGATGTCATCCAGTACGTGGCTCTCGAGAGTGGCCGTTGCTTCACCAACCGCTCCGCCCGATTTGAGGCAGCCACAAGCCCCAGCCCCCGGCGAGTAGCCTATCGCTGGGACTTCGGGGACGGGGCCCCAGTGCAGTACACAGAGGAGCCCTGGGCCGCCCACACCTACCTGCAGCCCGGGGACTACCGCGTGGAGGTGAACGCCACCAACCTGGTGAGCTTCTTTGTGGCCCAGGCCACCGTGACTGTCCAGGTGCTGGCCTGCAGGGAGCCCGAGGTGGGCGTGGCCCTGCCCTCGCAGGTGCTGATGCGCCGCTCGCAGCGCAACTACCTGGAGGCACACGTGGACCTGCGCGACTGTGTCACTTACCAGGCCCAGTACCGCTGGGAGGTGTTCCGCGCCGCCAGCTGCCAGCGGCTAGGGCATTCGGCGCGCGTGGCCCTGCCTGGCGTGGACGTGAGCCGGCCCCAGCTGGTGGTGCCGCGGTTGACGCTGCCCGTGGGCCACTACTGCTTTGTGTTCGTGGTGTCGCTCGGGGACACACCACTGGCGCGGAGCATTCAGGCCAACGTGACCGTGGCCGCCGAGCGTCTGGTTCCCATCATCGAGGGCGGCTCGTACCGCGTGTGGTCTGACACCCAGGACCTTGTGCTGGACGGGAGCAAATCCTACGACCCGAACCTGGAGGACGGCGACCAGACGCCGCTCAGCTTCCACTGGGCCTGTGTGGCCTCCACCCAGGTCAGCCGCGTGCAGGGAGGGCTGGGCCTCACCTACCTGGTCTCAGGCGCTGCCCTGGGCTGGGTATTAGTGCTCCTGTGGGGAGGTGGTCTCGTCTCTGGAGCTGTCCCCTGGGGCCAGGTTCTGCCAGGGTCCCGGACCACCATGCTTCTCCTTTGTCTGCTGCAGAGCGAGGCTGGTGCGTGTGCGCTGAACTTTGGTCCCCGTGGGAGCAGCACGGTCACCATTGCCCGGGAGCGCCTGGGGGCGGGGGTGGAGTACACCTTCAGCCTCACTGTGTGGAAGGCGGGCCGGAAGGAGGAGTCTGCCAACCAGACGGTGCGTGCCCGCCCGCCCGCCCCACTTCCAGCAGGCTCTCTGGGCCGGGGTGCTCTTTGGGCTGAGAACTCGGTTCTCACCTGGTTCTGATCTCCACGTGAAATACTTGGCGCCCACACTCAGTCTGTCAGAAGCGGGACGCGGTTCCTTAGGCATGCTGCGAGGCCGCTGCTGTGCGGGGCAGGCGCCCCGTGCGTGGTTAGGCTACATCTCCCCTTCCTTCCCCCAGCGGGGAGCCACGCCTGCTGCTGTGGAAGGGGCCCTGCCTGGGTGTGGTGCCCCGCCCGCCACAGGGCCGTCCCTCTGAGCCAGGCCGTCCCCCGCCTGGCCCGCCTGCTCAGGGGAGGTGCCCGGGCTCCTCCGGGCGCCAGGGCCCTGCTCGGCAATAGAAACTCCTGGGTGCAGAGGGCTTTCCACCCCTTGCATGGGTGCCTTGCTTCCTTCCAGCATCTGTTTCTGGAACCTTCCTAAGTGTGCCCTGTGCCTGCTGTTGTGGGCCCTGGGGCTGCACACTGCACACGGCGGGCGGCTCTGCCATGGGAGGACCGGCCCCTCCCCACACTGGCATTTCCACTGGATGCAGGAGACCTTCCCCAGAGCCCGCGCCCGGGGTGCAGAGGCTCTCCCTTGGGCTGGTGGGGATGGACAAGGCCTCCCTGTGCCCCGCCCGCCCCAGGTGCTGATCCGCAGTGGCCGGGTGCCCATCGTGTCCCTGGAGTGCGTGTCCTGCAAGGCGCAGGCGGTGTACGAAGTGAGCCGCAGCTCCTACGTGTACTTGGAGGGTCGCTGTCAGAACTGCAGCAACGGCTCCAAGCGCGGGGGGGGGGGGGGAGAGGGGCCTGGGGGGGGGGGGGGGGCCCGCACGCACCGTCTCGCGCTCCTGTCCTCAGCGCTGGGCTGCGCGCACCTTCAGCAACAAGACACTGGTGTTGGATGAGACGACCACGTCCACGGGCGGTGCGGGCATGCGGCTGGTGGTGCGGCAGGGTGTGCTGCGGGACGGCGAGGGCTACACCTTCACGCTCACCGTGCTGGACCGCACCGGGGAGGAGGAGGGCTGCGCCTCCATCCGCCTCTCCCCCAACCGCCCTCCGCTCGGGGGCTCCTGCCGCCTCTCCCCGCTGGAGGCCGTGCGGGCCCTCACCACCAAGGTGCACTTCGAATGCACGGGTGAGTGGGGCTCCGGGGGGAGGCCGGCGTGGGGCGGCGCTGCTCCTGACACCGCCGTGTGTCTGCAGGCTGGCGGGATGCCGAGGACGCCGGTGCCCCCCTGGTGTACGCCCTGCTCCTGCGGCGCTGCCGCCGCGGCTACTGTGAGAACTTCTGCGTCTACAAGGGTAGCCTCCCGGCCTACGGGGCCGTCCTGCCGCCCGGCTTTGGGCCACACTTTGAGGTGGGCCTGGCTGTGGTGGTGCAGGACCAGCTGGGCGCTGCCGTGGTGGCACTCAACAGGTGAGCTGTGCCCGGGGAGGGGAGACGGCGTGCCCGCCGCCTGCTCACCTCGCCGCCTGCCTCTGTCGTGCAGGTCTTTGGCCATTATCCTTCCTGAGCCCAACGGTAGCTCGGCGGGCCTGGCTCCCTGGCTGCACAGCCTGACGGCCAGTGTGCTGCCCGGGCTGCTGCGGCAGGCTGACCCACAGCACGTCATCGAGTACTCCCTGGCCCTTGTCACTGTGCTCAATGAGGTCAGTAAGGGTGGGCGGGGACAGCGATCCCTCACGCTGCCCACAGCCCCACCGCCGCGTGGGGATGCCGGGCGTGCTGAGCATGCCCCGTTTGGCCTTTGAGGAAACAATGCAGTGCTGTGTGCCCCTGCCCCTGGTGGCCAGCAGGGGACCAGGCATACTCGGCTCTCCGTGGAGCAGCCCGCCCTGCCCCGCCCCGCTCACAGCTCCCCTTTGCTCACTGCCCACCCCAGTATGAGCAGGCTCCGGATGCAGGAGTGGAGCCCAGCCACCAGCGGCAGATGCGAGCCCAGGTGCGCAAGAACATCACGGAGACGCTGGTTTCGCTGCAGGTCCACACCGTGGACGACATCCAGCAGATCACGGCCGCCCTGGCCCAGTGCATGGTAAGACAGCAGGCTCACTGTGCCTGCCAGGCCTCCCGCCCTGTAGCCTCAGCCAGGCCTCCGGCCCTGGAGTGTTTTTCCTGGCCTGTGCTAGCGCTCCGGAGCCCCTGATGCTACCCAGTGGCAGCCTACAGCGCCCCCTTTGGGAGCCCGCAGGTGGGAAGAGCAGCTCAGCATATGGGGGGGGATGGCGGGGGCGGGGGGGTGGTGGCATCAGACACAAAGATCCTGTTTGGGCCTCCTCTCAGGCCTGCGGTCACACCCTGACACCTGATGTGGCCTTGTCCAACACGAGCTGTCCACTGCTCAAATTCTCAGCAGTACAGGCTGACGGGTGGGGGCAGCTGCTGAGTGCAGTGGGGGGCTCTCTGGGAGGGCAGGAAGAAGCAGAGCCTTGGGGTGGGGGCGCTGTTCCCATGGGGTCCTGTGGCTCAACAGCTGTCAGTTGTGTGAAAAGATGGCACTGAGCCCCGGGGACAGGGTTCTTCCCCGGGTCGGGAGGAGCACAGGGAGGTTGCCGACCGGCTGGGTCCGGAAGTTGTGCTGGGACCTGTGCAGGTGGCCAGCAGGGAGCTCGTGTGCCGCTCTTGCCTGAAGAAGGTGCTGCACAAGCTGGAGGCCATGATGCGCATTCTGCGGGCCGAGACCACCCAGGGCACCGCCACGCCCACCGCCATCGCCGACAGCATCCTCAACATCACAGGTGGGCGTGCTCGGCCCGGGCGGCCCCGCTCCCAGACGCCGGCCACCGCTCACGCGCCCCCCCCCCCGTGCCCATCTGCAGGGGACCTCATCCACCTGGCCAGCTCTGACGTGCAGGCCCTGCAGCCCTTGGAACTGGGGGCCGAGCCGCCCTCACCCATGGTGGCATCCAAGGCTTACAACCTGTCTTCGGCGCTCATGTGCATCCTCATGCGCTCCCGCGTGCTCAACGAGGAGCCTCTGACCCTGTCTGGGGAGGAGATCGTGGCCCAGGGCAAGCGCTCGGACCCGAGGAGCCTGCTGTGCTACGGCAACACGGCCACGTCCGGCTGCCACTTCTCCATCCCCGAGGCCTTCAGCGGCGCCCTCTCCAATGTCAGCGATGTGGTGCAGCTCATCATCCTCATGGACTCCAACCCCTTCCCCTTCGGCTACATCAGCAACTACACGGTCTCCACCAAGGTGGCGTCCATGGCGCTCCAGACGCAGGCCGGCACCCAGATCCCGATAGAACGGCTCGCCACAGAGCGCGCCATCACGGTCAAAGTGCCCAGCAACTCAGACCAGGTCGCCCAGAGCATGCGCACCCCAGCAGGCTCCACCATCGTGCAGCCCCGGGCCTCGGTCAGTGCCGTGGTTACCCCAGACGACAGCAACCCCGAGGCTGGGCTGCACCTGCAGCTCACCTACACCGTGCTCAATGGTGGGTGCCGTGGCTGGGCACACACTGCCCGCCCTCTTCCCAGCCCCTTCCCTGGGAGGGCCCGGGGTGTCCCGCCAGAAGGCCGGTGAGGAGCCACAGAGAAGCTCGTGCTGCCCCAGGCCCCTGACAGAGCTGCAGGGTTTCCCGATGGTGGCCGGCGTTGGGGGTGGGCAGCTGACACCGTGTGTCGCCCCCAGAGCGCTACCTGTCTGAGGAGCCCGAGCCCTACCTGGCTGTGTACCTGCACTCAGCGCCGCGGCCCAACGAGCACAACTGCTCTGCGGACAGGAGGATCAGCCTGGAGGCGCTCAGAGGCGCCGACCACCGGCTCTACACCTTCTTCCTCGCCCCGGGGTGAGCGCCTGCCAGAGGCCCGGGAGTGGGCCCGGACAGCTGGCCTCGGTGGGCTGTTTTGGGCACAGGCGTGTGTGTGGCTCTGTCGGAAGCTGGGAGAGCCGGCCGGGCGAGGCAGCTGAGAGCAGAGCGCCGTCCACCGGGACGCCCAAAGCCTGGCCCTGACCCTGCCCCTTCCTGGCAGGACCCGGGCCCCCGGGGGGAGCTACCACCTGAACCTGACCAGCCACTTCCACTGGTCGCCGCTGGAGGTGTCCGTGGGCCTGTACACGGCCCTGTGCCAGTACTTCAGTGAGGAGGACATGATGTGGAGGACGGAGGGGCTCGCGCCGCTGGAGGAGACCTCGCCCCGCCAGGCCGTGTGCCTCACGCGCCACCTCACGGCGTTCGGCGCCAGCCTCTTCGTGCCCCCCAGCCGCGTCCGCTTCATCTTTCCCGTGAGTGGCCCTCCCGTCCCCGCGCTCTCCACTCCTTTGTCCACAGCGGGTGGTGCGGGCCGCGGGACGGGGCCTCGTGCTTCTCTCTTCCCAGGAGCCATCGATGGGTGTGAACTATGTCGTCTTGTTGACGTGTGCCATGTGCCTGGTGACCTATGCAGCCATGGCCGTGGTCCTGCATAAGTTAGACCAGCTGGACGTCCGCCGGGTCCGCGCGATCCCATTCTGCGGGAAGGGGGGCCGCTTCAAGTATGAGATCCTGGTCAAGACTGGCTGGGGCCGAGGCTCAGGTGAGGGGCCGTGGCCGTGGGGGTCCTGGGCGTCCACCCTGCCCCAGCTTCTAGCTGCAGCGCTGGCCAGCCACTGCTGCCTCTGGCCCCTGCCTGTTCTCTTTTGACTATCCATTTTCCAGAAGCGCCACAGGAGCTGGTGCTGGTGGCTCACGCGTGACATCCTAGTTTCCTGGGGCTGAGGTCTGAGACTTGCAGTTCAAAACCAGTCTGGGCAGGGAAGTCCTGAAACTCCTTTTAACTGAGCAAAAGCTAGAAGTGGAGGTGTGCTTCTAGCACCAGCCCTGAGCTTGTTTTGAACTGTGCCCCGGCCCCGAGTTCAAGCCCAATGACCAGCACAAAACCCATGTCGGCTCTCACGGGGAGAGGAGACGCCACGTAGCCCCTCCGCGTCAGGCCAGGGCTGCGTCTCAGACTGTGCTGTGCGGGGCTTGGGGCTCGGGAGCGGAACCAGGCTTGTATGCCAGCATCGCTGGGAGTCGCACGCACCCCGTGGCAGCCGAAAGCTGTCGGATGTTGGGTTGTGGCGCTGGGCTGGTGATAGTTCCGTGAACTGAGAAAGCCTGAGTGCAAATGCGTCCGTCGCCGCTGCAGAGCACGGCCTGCTGGTGCTTGGCGAATGGAGGTTGGCAGACAGAAAAGCTTGCCTGGTCTCGAGCAGCGGGCAGAAGACCAGGCTCTTGGCCCTCCCTCCTGCAGGCACCACGGCCCACGTGGGCATCATGCTGTACGGGGCGGACAGCCAGAGTGGCCACCGGCACCTGGACGGGGACAGAGCCTTCCACCGGAACAGCCTGGACGTCTTCCGGATCGCCACCCCGCGCAGCCTGGGCAGCCTGCAGAAGATCCGAGTGTGGCATGACAACAAAGGTCCGGGGGGGGCAGCGCCGCCCCTGCGCCCGCCGCCGCCCCGGCCTCACCGCCTGTCCCCCCGCAGGCCTGAGCCCCGCCTGGTTCCTGCAGCACGTCATCGTCCGCGACCTGCAGAGCGCCCGCAGCACCTTCTTTCTGGTCAACGACTGGCTGTCTGTGGAGACCGAGGCCAACGGGGGCCTGGTGGAGAAGGAGGTGCTGGCAGCAAGTAAGGCCCTCTACCCGCCAGGGGCGGGGCCCCCCCCCCCCGCCGCTGCCCCTCTCCTCCCCCTCCCTGCCGCTACCCCTCCCTCCCTCTCCCCAGGTGATGAAGCCCTGTGGCACTTCCGGCGCCTCCTGGTGGCAGAGCTGCAGTGTGGCTTCTTTGACAAGCACATCTGGCTCTCCGTGTGGGACCGGCCACCACGCAGCCGCTTCACGCGTGTCCAGAGGGCCACATGCTGCGCCCTCCTCCTCTGCCTCTTCCTGGGCGCCAATGCCGTGTGGTACGGGGTCGTGGGAGATGCCACGCACAGGTAGGTGCTGTGGGGTAGGTGATGCGGCCTTCTTGCCAACTCTTCTGCCCCTCCAGCCTCCTCACGCCTGGATCTCCTCTCCTGCCCTAGTGTGGGGCCCGTGTCCAGCCTGGTCCCCCCCGGCGCCGATGCTGTCGCCGTTGGCCTGGTGTCCAGCGTGGTCGTCTACCCTGTCTACCTGGCTGTCCTGTTCTTCTTCCGCATGTCTCGGAGCAAGGTGGGCTGGGCCAGGTCAGGGCTGCTGGGTCCAGGGTGGTCCCGGGTGGCCGTGTCACCCAGCCACTGGGAGTGCAGTGCGGCAGCCCCGGGAGACCACAGGCCAGAGCAGGCCCCTTGGAAGCGCCCACAAAACCAGCACGCCTAAAAGGACATGGGTGGGAAACAGTTCTCAGAGCCATGCTCCAGTGGCTCACACCTGTCATCCTAACTGCTCGGGAGGCTGAGATCTGAGGATTGTGGTTCAAGGCCAGCCTGGGCAGGAAAGTTAGTGAGACTTGTCTCCGATTCACCATACAAAAGCTGGAAGTGAAACTTTGGCTCAAGTGGTAGAGCACTAGCCTTGGGCAAAAGAAGCTAAGGGACAGGGCCCAGGTCCTGAGTTTAAGCCCTAGAATGCACGCGTGTGTGAGCACACATGCACACACACACACACACACACCAAAATAATGAAAGAGAGGCCACCTCGTGGGTTCCCCTGCAGAGACTGACTAGGTTCTGAAGACCATGCACAAGCTGCATGCTGAGCATGCTCAGGGCGAGGGCGGAAGACCCTGCTGGGAAGGCAATCTGCCAAGAGCAGATGTCCCAAGGATGTAAATATGCGTAAAGAGGGTGCGTGGTGATGCACGGAAAAGCCAGGCCCGGCTGGTGAATTCCAGCAAACCGTTCAGCTCCCCCAAAACAGGAGGGGAACCTTCCGAGCTCGTGCCAGGCCAACACTGCCCTCGGCCACCAGGCGGCCGCCGCAGAGCCGTGCGCACACCCGGGCCTCAGGCGCACCAGGAAGGCTATGCACCAAGGCCAAGAGGGAGGTTCCAGGGGTGCGTGGCGGTCACGTGCCGTGGGTGGTGGCGGTTCACACACGTGAAGGGTGATTGTGCCGGGAGTAGCCTCTATCTAGTGCATGGCTCTGAATTCAGCCCGAGGACTGCCAAAAAGAAAAGAATTAGGGGTAATTCATTCACTGAAGAACTTTTTTAAGACTGGCAGCAGGTTTGAACTTGACCTTGTGACTGCCCATTTTGCTTGCTTGTGGCGTGTGTGCTCTACCACTTAAGCCATGCCTCCTTTTCCTCAGTACTACTTTGTGCTTGGTATTTGTGTGCGCGCGCGCATGCTAGTCCTCAGGCTTGAACTCAGGGCCTGGGCGCTGTCTCTGAGCTTTATTGCTCAGTGCTAGTGTTTTGCCACTTGAGCCACAGCTCCACTTATTTTTTTTTTTTTGGGTCCGGTCATGGGGCCTGAACTCTGGGCCTGGGCGCTGTCCCTCAGCTCTTCAGCTCAAGGCTAGCGCTCTACCACTTGAGCCACAACCGCCACTTCCAGCTTTTTTCCTTTTGCTTATGTGGTGCTGGGGAATTGAACCCAGGGCCTCAGGCATGCAAGGCAAGCGCTCTACCACTGAGCCACCTTCCCAGCCCCCACTTCTGGTGTTTTGGTGGTTCATTGGAGATAAGAGTCCCATGGACTTTTGTGCCCAGTTGGCTTCAAACATCGATCCTCAGATCTCAGCCTCCTGAGTAGCTAAGATGACAGGCGCCAGCTTTTTTGCTTATTTTGGAGATGAAGTCTAATGGCCTTTTCTGCCCGCGCTGGCCTTGACCTTCAGTCCACGGTACTTCAGCCTCAGTAGCTAGGATTACAAGCCTGAGCCACCAGCGCTGCCTCTCGCTGAGCCCCTGGCCTCTCCCTGCAGGTGGTGGGAGGCCCAGGCCCCACCCGCTCAGGGCAGCCCGCACTGGACACCGACAGTTTCCTGGGCTCACCCGTGCTGAACGGCTCCTTCTTCACGCTGTCGGCGCTCCGGGCTGAGGTGCGGCCTGGGGGCCATGGGGCCAGGTGGGTCAGCCCGCGGGCACAGCGGGTGGAGGCCCCACCCAGACAGCTCTCTGCGCTTCTCAACAGGCCCTTGCTGGACAAGTAAGAAGCGACTTTCTTCTGGATGATTCTAAAAGGTGTGTCTGCCAGAGGAACGGAGGTCACAGAACCGTCGGCTGTGCCTGGGCGGTGCTGGGGACATGTGGCATGTGGCGTTCTGCAGCCCGGGGTGGCGGCTTGCTGATGTGTGTCTTGTCTGTGGTGCGTTGGCGTCGTGGGCGGGGTGGCGGCTTGCTGACCTGTGTGGCCCGTAGCCTGGTGTGCTGGCCGTCCAGCGAAGGCACGCTCAGCTGGCCGGACCTCCTCAGCGACCCGTCCATCGTGGGCAGTGCCCTGCAGCAGCTGGCATGGGGTCCGACCGGCCACGGGCTGGGCCGGGAGGAGGACAGCGCCCCCTCGCCTGCCCAGCACCTGTCAGCATCAGGTGAGCCCAGCAGGCTTCTACCCCCCCCCCCCCCCCCGGGCTGGGCCTGCCTGACGCGACCCACTCCCTGCAGATGAAGACCTGATCCGGCAGGCCCTGGCTCCCACCCAGGACGCCCCCTCGGACACGGACCTGCTCACCGGCCTGTGAGTGAGGCTTGGGGTGGGCGCTGGGCGGCCCGGGTGACGGGCGGAGGGCAGGCGCCTGGTATGGAGCGTTTCCCGCCTCTGCCCTGGGCTCCTGGCTGGCCAGTGACCGCAACTCCAGGGTAGGAGGCGGCGGGGCGTGCGGGTTGCGAGAGCAGACCAGCGGCCAGTCTGCAGGGGCTGAGCTGGGAAGCGCTTTTTGTGTTTTTACAAATTCCTGCGTTTGAACTCGGGGCCGGGTGTGAGATGCCCCTTGGTTTTCATTTTGAGAGTGTTTCATACTTGACGTTTAGCAGCATAGATCAGCTGCCTGGAGGGTTGCAAGGCTGTGCCCCAGTCTGGCGCTTCCTCAGCTCTCCCTCCCCTCCTCCCTCCCTCCCTCCCTCCCTCCCCCGCGCCTCCCTTCCACCCCATGCATGCAGCCGGTGCCCCAGCCCAGGAGTGCGCTCTACTGTCCTGTGCTTGCTGTTCTCATTTTTAATGTAATTCTTAATTACATTAAAATGTAACTAATGTACAGGAGGGGTTTCTTGGCCACGGTCACTCATATGCGCATACGTTAGAATTTACCAGTGTACTTCAATCATGGTTCCAGCCCTTATGGGTTTGTTTTTGGTGAAAGAACCAGAGCTTGAACTCAGCTGTACCACTTGAGCCACACCTACATTCTGGCATTTTTGCTAATTAATTGGAGACAGTTTTTCAGTTTTCTGCCCAGGCTGACTTTGAATCGTGATCCTTAGGTGTCAGCCCTCTGAGTCAGCAGGATTACAGGCGTGAGCCACAGGGGCCTAACTTCGTTGTGTCTGTGCATGTGCGCCAGTCCTGAGACTTAAACTCAGGGCCGGGGCGCTGTCTGGGTGTCTGTTGCTCAAGGTTACCTTCTTGTGCTACCTTGCTTTGCACCTGAACCACAGCTCCAGCTTTTTTGGTGATTTATTGGAGAAAGAGCCTCACAGACTTCCCTGCTGGCTTTGCACTGTGATCTGTATAGACCTCAGCCTCCTGAGGAGCCGGGATTATAGACATGAGCCACCAGTGTCAGCCTGTTATCTTGTTTTTAAGGGTTTTTTCTTGTCAATGTGCCAGCCCTGGGGCTTGAACTCAGGTTCTAAGTGCCGTCTCTGAGCTTCCCTGCTCCAGACTAGCCATAAACCACTTGAGCCACAGATCTACTTCTGGCTTTTGGGTAGTTAATTGGAGATGAGTCTCACGGTGAGCGTGTAAGCCAGAATTCAGAGTGGTGAGCGTGTAAATGGGAAAGCATGAGATGCTCAAGAAGCACCAGTGGCTCACGCCTGTGATTCTAACTACACAGGAGGCTGAGATCTTAAGATCACAGTTCGAAGCCAAGCACTGGCTCAAGGGAGAAAGCCTGGGCCTGAGCAGAAAGCCGCAGGCCCTGAGCCCCAGCCCGGAAGGCGCCGGCACCACTGCTTCCCCTGCGCGGCGGTGTGGCGCTCACAGCTCTGCCCTGTGCCCAGGTCCAGCACGCCCGGGGAGAAGCCTGAGACGCTGCTGCTGCAGAGGCCGGGAGAGAAGCAGCTCCAGCCCAGCCCCAGTGGTGGGCAGCCCCCGCCGGCCCGGCGCTCGGTGACAGGTGCGCTTGGGGGCCCGGGCCCAGGCCTCCCACCCACCCCCGGGCTGGCGGCCTCTGCAGCTGTCCTTTTGTCCCCAGGACCCGTGGAGGGTCTCCACAAGCGGCTGCTGCCCTCCTGGTGTGCACCCCTTGCCCACGGGCTCAGCCTGCTCCTGGTGGCCGTGGCTGTGGGGGTCTCGGGGTGGGTCGGTGCCAGCTTCCCTCCCAGCGTGGGCCTCGCGTGGCTGCTCTCGAGCAGCTGCAGCTTCCTGGCCTCGTTCCTCGGCTGGGAGCCACTTAAGGTAAGTGGGGGCATGGGGAGGGCCGTGCGGGGCCCAGCCTGCCCGCTGACGCCGCCCTCCCCCAGATCCTCCTGGAAGCCCTCTACTTCTCCCTGGTGGCCAAGCGGCTGCACCCGGAGGAGGACGACACCTTAGTGGAGAGCCCGGCTGTGACCCCTGTGAGCGAGCGCGTGCCCCGCGTGCGCCCCCCCCACGGCTTCGCCCTCTTCCTGGCCAAGGAGGAGGCCCGCAAGGTCAAGAAGCTGCATGGCATGCTCAGGGTGAGCCCTGCCCTAAACCCTCCCCGACCCCTCCGCCCGCTGCCCGTGGGGCAGGATGCTCCCTCACGCCCCTGCTCCTGCCCGGCCTTCCAGGGCCCCAGGCTCAGCTGCTTCCCCTCAGTGACCGTGCCTGCTCCCAGCAAGGCCCCGCCCTGGCGCGGTGGCCGGGAGCGCCGACCACAGGCTTGCCCTGTCCCCAGAGCCTCTTGGTGTACATGCTCTTCCTGCTGGTGACGCTGCTGGCCAACTACGGGGATGCTGCGGGCCACGCCCACGCCTACCGGCTGCAGAGCGCCATCAAGCAGGAGCTGGACAGCCAGGCCTTCCTGGCCATCACCCGGTAGGACGCTCAGGGACACACACACACACACACAGGTGTCCCCCGGGGCAGGGCGGTCCCGACACCAGCCCAGCCTGACCAGGATGGGAGCCGCTGACGGGGGGAGTGCTGTCTCCCGTACCGCTCCGCTCCACAGGCTCGGGACAGAAAGATGCGCCCCGCACAGTGGGCTGGGCTTTGTTCCGGGGCCTGGCAGCCTGCACTCGAGCTGGGCAGAGGAGCCGGGGGCTGGTGAGTGACTTCGGGCTGCCCGCAGGTCTGAGGAGTTCTGGCCGTGGATGACCAGTGTGCTGCTGCCGTCTGTCCATGGAGACGGGCCCGGCCCTGAGCTGGGGCCCCCGCGGTTACGGCAAGTACGGCTCCAGGAAGGTGAGATGCGGCCCTCCCCTCCTCCTGGAGCTGCCGGGAGGGCTCTGGCCACTGCTGACAGCGAACGCCCCTCATCCCGCCCTGGGCTCTGCCCGCCAGACCCTCTGCTCTGCACAGACCCGCCCGGCTCCGGGGCCCATGCGCACGCATGCTCAGCTGCCAGAGGCTTCAGCACCAGCGACTACGGCGTTGGCTGGCAGAGCCCAGCTCACAACGGATCAGAGATGTGGGCCTACTCTGCGCCAGACCTGCTGGGGTAAGCACAGAGGGCCGAGGCCCACGGGGGGCTGGCAGGCCCTCCTGAGCGCCCCACATGCAGCGTTCCCCCTCCCCGACAGCGCCTGGCACTGGGGCTCCTGCGCCGTGTACGACAGTGGCGGCTACGTCCAGGAGCTGGGCCTGAGCCTGGAGGAGAGCCGGAGACGGCTGGGCTTCCTCCAGCTGCACAACTGGCTGGACAGCAGGTGGGCCCCCGCCCCCCGCCCCAGCCCTGTGCGCCCCATGTGGGCCCCCCACCCAGGCCAGGGGCCTTGCTGAGCTGTCCCTGTGCAGGAGCCGTGCCGTGTTCGTGGAGCTGACCGGGTACAGCCCGGCTGTGGGGCTGCACGCTGCCGTCACGCTGGGCCTCGAGTTTCCCGCCACCGGCCGGGCCCTGGCCACGCTCAGCATCCGGCCGTTCGCTCTGCCTCGCGCCAGCAGCTGGCTGTCCCTGCCACTCCTCACCTCGGTAACAGCCACCCCTGCAGGGTTCCCTCGGCACGCCCCAGGCCACACATACAAACCCCTGATCCCCGTCTCGCCGGCCCGTCCCCCAGGTGAGCCTGCTGCTGTTTGCCCTCTACTTCCTGGCGGCCGAGGCGCGTGCATGGCGCAGGGAGGGGCTGGCGCGCGTGACCCGGCCCGGAGCCTGGGTGCGGTGGCTACTGGTGATCCTGACGGTGGCTGCGGCCCTCGTCCGCCTGGCCCACCTGGGCGCAGCTGACCGCCAATGGGGCAGGTTCCTGAGGGGCAGGAGGGGCCGGTCTGTCCGCTTCACCAGCTTTGACCAGGTGGCCCAGCTGAGTGCCGCCGCCCGCAGCCTGGCTGCCTCACTGCTCTTCCTGCTCCTGCTCAAGGTGAGTTTGCTGGCTGGGGTGCGCGGGGTGCGCGGCTCCTGCCGGCGGCTGACCACACCCCGCACCCTCCGCAGGCGGCCCAGCAGCTGCGCTTTGTACGCCACTGGTCCATTTTTGGCAAGACACTGTGCCGGGCCCTGCCGGAGCTTTTGGGCGCCACCCTGGGCCTGGCTGTGCTCGGCGTGGCCTATGCCCAGCTGGCTGTTTTGGTAGGTGGCTGGGGGGACCTGCGGGTTGGGGGGCCTTGGCCAGAGCACCGCCTCACTCCCTGCTTCCCACAGCTCGTCTCCTCCGGCATGGACTCCTTCCAGAACGCAGCCCGGGCCATCTGGGCCCTGTGCCCGGGAGCCAGAGTCCCCGCCCTGTGCCCGGCGGAGTCTTGGTACTTGTCCCCCCTGCTGTGTGGGGCGCTCTGGGCCCTGCGGGCGTGGGGGGCCCTGAGGCTGGGGGCCGTCCTCCTGCTCTGGCGGTACCACGCGCTGCGCGGGGAACTGTACCGCCCGGCCTGGGAGCCCCAGGACTACGAGATGGTGGAGCTCTTCCTGCGCAGGCTGCGCCTCTGGATGGGCTTCAGCAAGGTCAAGGAGGTGGGTACGGCCCAGAGGGGGGGAGAGGGACACACCTGGGCCACTGCGCCCAGGTGCAGCCGGACTGACCGAGCCCCTGTGCCGCCCCCAGTTCCGCCATAAGGTCCGCTTCGAAGGAATGGAGCCTCTGCCCTCGCGCTCGTCCCGGGGCTCCAAGTCCCCCCCGGCCGCCCCACCCCCCAGCGCCGGCTCGGAGCCCTCGCGCCCCTCCACCTCCTCCTCCAGCCAGCCCGACGGGCTGCGGAGAGAGCCCGAGCCCTCCTGCCTGCACTCCATGTTCGAGGCTCTGCTCATGCAGTTTGACAGACTCAACCAGGCCACGGAGGATGTCTACCAACTGGAGCAGCAGCTGCAGAGCCTTCAAGGCCAGAGGAACGGTCAGCCCCGGGCCTTGCCTCCTGCTGGCCGTGCCCCAGGCCCCCCGCGGGCCCTGGCCCCCTGCCTCGCCTGCCGGGCCTCGCGGGCTGTGGGCCCGGCTGCCAATCCCGGCAGGGTGTCCCTGTGGGGCAAGAACAAGGTCCACCCCAGCAGCACCTAGGCCCGGGGGCCTGTACCAGGCTTTCCCCTGGGGCAGCCGCCCTTCCTCGGGCAGGGCCCGTGGCTGTGCCCGGCCCCTCGGAAGCCAGGGCAGATACCGTACCGCTCAGTATTACCTACCTACCGGCAGCCCCGCTGCCCGCGGGCTTCAGCACTTTAGCGGCCGCCGGCCCAGCCGGCCAGCCGGGATGCGGCAGTGTTGGGCTGAGCGAGCAGCAGCCTCCGAGATGCTATTTATTTCCCGAGTCCTCAGGTACAGTGGGCTGTGCCCAGCCGCCTCGCCTGGCGAAGGATCCCATCCGGGGAGGGCTCAGCCGCACCCCGCTGCCATCCCCTAAGTTATTAATTACCTCTCCTGCCGCCCTGCACACGTCCCGTCCCCTGCGCGCACCGTCAGTAATTTATACGGGGTTCAGAGGTGTCTATTTTTGTATGTCGCTATTCTCTCGAGTGCGGAGGGACTTGACTTTATTTTCTTTTTCTCCGGCTGGGGGAGCTGCCGCTGCTTCTTGGATCCGAGTCTGGCCCTGAGGTGGGCGTGCTGCCACCATGGCCTTGCCCCCCTCCCCCCCCTGCTGGCAGCGAGCCTGCCGCCAGCACCCAGGCTTGCTGGTGTCGGGCCTGGACTAGAAGGTGGTGAATGTGAAGCGAAGGGACGAGACCCCTCCTGGGGCTGGCTCCCAGGCCGGGGCCGGTGTGAGTGTGTGAGGGCCCTGAGGAGCAGCACAGCTGAAGCTACGGCCTTGACCCCGCCCCAGTCCCTCCAGACAAAGTCAAATAAAGGCGCTGCCTTGACGGCTACCTGTGCTGCTGCTTGTGCGCGGGCGGCACGGCCTGTTTATTTCGCTTGCTTATGGGGACAGGGTGCTGCGGGCGGCGCCTCACACAAACTCCGTGAAGTCGTCCACGGAGGAGATGAGGCGTTTCCGCTGGCCCGTCTCGTAGCTGGCCGTGGGCTCCGCGGGGACCGGGGCTTTGGTGTGGGTTGGGGGGTGCATCAGAGGCAGGCTGGGGCTGGAGTAGTGCATCTCCTCCCGGATCTGTGGGGAGACACTTGGGCAGCAACCCACGCCGACCAGCTCTGAGGGGCTTCCTCCCCCCCAAATCCTCTACACCCCCCTCCTACCCGCTGGCGCAGCCGCTTGATGTGGCGGAGCCGTGCGATCCACTTGGAGGGGTAGATTTCAGTGGGGTTGGAGCGGCTGTGGTGCACCTGTGAGGCCATCTGGGGACCACAAGGGGGAGACAATGGGGCACCTTGGGGCACCTTGCACCATACCTGGCCCCCCCCCCCCCCCGTTGCACACTCACGTTGGCGTGCAGGGCCATCTGGCGGGCCACGAAGGGCAGGTTGCGGTCAGACACGATCTTAGCCACACTAGTGTCCACAAGTCCCTCCATGTCTGAGGAGACACGAGGCTCGCTCTGGGCTCACGCACTCATGCACGCGGCCCCTCCGCCCCGGGGAGACACGGGCTCGCTCTGGGCTCGCGCTCGCGTGCACGCGGCCCCTCCGCCCCGGGGAGACACGGGCTCGCTCTGGGCTCACGTGCACGCGGCCCCTCCGCCCCACCGGCCCAGGCCTCACCTTTCCTGCACTGCAGCGTCAGCAAGTTGCACTCGTAGTCCAGCGGCGTGATGATCACGTGGACGAAGTTGAACTGGCCCTGCCAAACAGCAGAAGTCACGTGACGCGAGCGTCCCTGCCTTCGTGGGTGTCCTCCGTGGCTGGGCCTGCTGTGGCTCAGACACTGCAGCGCCGCCTTCTCAGGGCCCACAGCCCCGAGGCTGCGCGCGGCCGCCCTGCATGCCCGCTGTCCCCGGCTGCCCTGGCACGCCCAGGCCCACGGATGGCTGCCTCACCGTCAGTGTGCCCGGCCCCCCAACCCAGGAGACGCCCACAGCTGCTCTCACCAGACACATGGCACCTACTGAGTACACCAGCCTCCAAGTGACACTGGAGGATACCAGTGGGGGCTGCGGCCCGCCTTGGCTGCTGGCGAGTGAGCGGCAGGATGGACGCGGTGGGGGACGCGGTGGCTCAGTGCCAGTCCGGGTGCCGCTCACCTTGATGGTGCCCAGCCGGAAGTCCTCCCCGGAGTCATTGTAGATGATAGAGACGAAGTCGTTGCCCAGGTGCCGCTTCTTATCGCAGCGGTGCTTGTCCACGTCCTTGGTGGGCATCAGTGTGGCGATGTGGAAGACAGCTGTGGGGTGCACAAGGCCAGGCTGGTGCCGGGCGGGACCCTGGGCAGAGCAGCGAGGGGCCCGTCACGGGCCCGCGTCGGGCCCTCTGCCGCCCACCACTGGAGCCCTGGCTGACGGCTCCGCCCAGACCAGAGCTCTGGGAGCAGGCTTCGTGCCCAAGCACTTCCACCCCAGACCTCCATGAGCACAGCTGGCAAAGCAGGCATCACGGCTGAGCGCGGAGGCTCATCCCTGAGATCTGAGATCTGAGGATCACAGACTGACACCATTACTGGAAGACAATCAGCAAGACTTTTTTTTTTGGCTAGTCCTGGGGCTTGAACTCAGGGCCTGGGCGCTGTCCCACAGCTTCTTTTGCGCTACTTCCAGCTTTTTCTGTGTACATGGTACCGAGGAACCAAACCTAGAGTTTCACACATGCTAGGCAAGCACTCTACCACATTCCTAGCCACAATCCTAGCCGATTAGTGAGACTCCAATTAAGCAGCAAAAAGAAGTGGTGTGTGGCTCAAATGGTAGTGCTACCCTTGAGCAAAACAGCTCAAGGACAGTGTGCACAGGCCCTGAGTCCCAGCCCCAGGACGGCACACAGAGCACAGCATGAACGGGCAGGGTGTGCGCGGGGAGGGAGCGTCCGCACCTTGCATGATGTCATCGTGCCAGCAGTAGGTGAACTGGCCATCCTCACCGCACACGTCCAGACCGCCCAGGTACACCTTGTCTGGCTGGCAGTCCTTGAGCTCGATGAGCCTGCCCAGGCCCGTCAGGAACTCGGTGTAGCGGTATGAGCCATGCTCGTTGGACAGGATGGCCAGCTCGCTGCTGCTCTGTGGAGGCAAGCGGCGGCGGTGCTGACCCAGCCGCTGGCGGCTCAGCGTCGTCTCCACCAGGTGTGGCTGCGCGGCTCCCCTTCCGCCCCAGCCGGCCAGCTCCCGCTTTAAGCACACTGCTCGGCAGCCTTGCGTGGGCCACAACCCCCGACCTCCACGGAGGCTGCACCGCAGCGAGACGCCTTCGGCATGCCGCTCTGCTTCACTCGGACGGCAGCGTGCCCTTGCTGGCCCTGGCTGCCCACGACCCCACTCCTGCCCTCCCTGGGCCCGCCCACGCAGGGCTGTTAGGGCCTGCGCATGCAGCTCAGTCCCTCCACGCACCAGGACTTGAGCTCAGAGCTGCGTGCTATTAGCTTTTTCCGTTGACGGCCACATCTCCGGTCCCCAGTCCAACTCTCTGGCTGGCTACCCGGATATAAGTCTTGGCTTTTCTAACAAGCTGGCCTCAAACTGCGATCCTCAGGTTGAGATCCTAGCCCGGTCCCTCGAGTAGCTATGATCGCAGACGTGAGCTACCAGCTCCAGACCTACACCGCTGCCTGGCCATGCCTGACCCGCAGGCCCACACCCCAGCCTACCGCAGTTGTATGCCCGCTGCTGCGGGGGACCAGGGGCTGAGCTGTGGGAGGAGGTCCCGGCCCGGCCCTGGAAGCCACAGCCTCACCTGGCCCTCCCCCACATACAGGACGGCGATCTTGTGAGTGTCGTATGAGGGGATCTGGTCCAGGAGCTGCACTGATCGCTCGAAGGACTGCAGAGACATGGGGCGTGAGCAGGGGCGGGGCCACGCGGGCGGAGGGGCCACGCCACAGGGGGAGGCAGCTACCTCATTGGGCAGCAGAATGGGCTTGTTGGACTCGTCACCAAAAAAGGGCGAGTGGTACAGCTGCAGGAACACAAAGCTGCGGAGAGAAGCCGGGTGAGGACAGGAACGGGGTCCCGGGCCCCCCCACGGAGGGCAGGTGCCACAGCCGCAGCTGAGAACCTGGGCCCTGTTCCCTGGCCTGCTGTGCCCATGCAGGCTCGAGATCTGCCCCCAGCGGGCCTGGGTGCCTGCCCAGGAGATGGCCCACCTGGGGTTGATGCCCGGCACTTTCTCAGTTCCGGACGCTGCGGCTCTGCTCTTGAAGGCGTCCCGCTCCACCCGCTGGCCCCGGCGCGAAGGGGCTGAGTCGGAGATGGTGTAGCCACGGGGCCGCAGGCCACTGGGCGACCGGGGGGAGCTGGAGGGCAGCGGGCCCTCGGGCGGGGCGGGGCCCTGGATCTCCTCGCCCGGGGCTGACCAGGCCGCCCCTTCTCCGTCCAAAGTCCCAGACTGGGAGCGGGCCTTGGCCTCGGGGCTCAGGCGGCCGGTGTCGGCCTTGTCCCCAGGGTGGGCAAGGCTGTCCTGCAGGGTCTGCAGCTCGGGGGAGGAGCTGGACTTGCTCAGGGGCTGCGTGGGCTGGAAGGACAGGTCCACCAAGGGGCGGCCGCCCTCGGAAGACACGGCCCTCTCGATGGGGATGCCGCCGGCCGCCAGCACCTCGGCGGGGCAGGCCTTCTCCTCCTGGCTGGAGGCTGAGGACGACTGTGGGACCGACAGCGCCCGGTGAGCAGGCGCTCAGCCTGCGGCCTGCTGCCCTGGTCCCGCCGCCGGGGCCCGAGCCGCCAACCCAAGGTGGGGTCGGTGGAGGAGGAGGGAGGCTCGCCCCACCCGCGGGCAGCGTGGAGGCTGCGCACCCCGCGCTCCTGCCCAGGACCCCACACACTCACCCTGCTGTAGGGGGCGGGGCGCCGGCTGAGCCTGTGCACACCCAGGGCGGCCTCGAAGTCCTCCAGCTCAGGGGGCTCTCCGGGTGCGTGGGCCTGGCCCGGCCCTCCCTCCTCCAGAACCACGGCGGAGTCTGCGGGACACAGGAGGCCGCGGGTGTGAGTGGCCCGTGCCCTGCCGGCCTCGGGGCCGCAGCAGCTCCACCGTAGCAGCCCGGCAGGGGGCCGGGCAGGGCCTGACCAGCCCTGGGTGGGGCTTCCAGGCCCCAGGGGACTGGGCGGCATCCACCAGTGCCCCTGGGCACCTCGGGCAGGGCAAGCAGCAGATGACACGAGGAGAACCCAGGAGAACCTGGGAGGGGCCCTGGCTCGGGAGGTGCTGACCGCGGCCAGTGTTTCCAGGGTTTTGAATGGAGGAAGCTAGGGATGAGCGCCACGTCTGCAGACTCACGTCTGCAGCCCAGCAGGCTGGGGAGGGGGGGCCGAGGTCCCAAGCCAGGGGCGGGCGGGCGGACAAGCAGCAGTGGCCCTGCACATGGCCTTGGACTGCCCCCCCTCCCCCGCCACCCTGGCGCCTGAACCCACGCGAGACCCGCCAGAGTCAGGGCAGCTGGCAGGGCCGGGCGTACAATGCCAAGCAGCTGCGGCAATGCCCGAGGCCAGCGATCAGCAGAGGCCAGGGCAAGTCAGCCAGGCAGAGCCCACCCCGGCGGCCCGAGGCCACACGCAGCTCAGGGGCACCGCCCAGCCCCACAGGCTGCAAGTCCGGGGGCTCCCACTGGTAAAGCAAAGGCGTCTGCACAGGTGTCCTCGAGTCAGTCAGAACCCTGCTCCCCGAGGACGATGAGGCTCAAGACGGGGCCATGGAGGGATGACCGGATGAGGGCGATGAGGGCAGCGTCTGGGGCAGAGCGCTCTGCGGCACACGCGAGTACCTGCCCAGGACACGCTCCTGTGCAGCTGTCCCTGGCAGCTGGACTGGTACAAGGAGGAGAGAGAGGCCACTGCAAGGCAACCACGCCAGCGGCCATGTCAACAGCAGACGCGCAGGCCGCGCAGAGGGCAGCACGGCCCGAGCCTGCAGAGGAGAGAGGGAGGGCCAGCGGCCAGGCCGGCGCCCGGGCTCTCCTGGCGGCAGCGCTGGCCCAATCCCCCCGCGCGGTGTCCGCAGCCACAGGGCGGCCCGGAGTCCGGCCCGGAAGGACAGCGCTCAGCCGGGCGGTGGGCGGCGGGCAGCAGGAGCACACGGCAGCCAGGGGCATGCACCCCACCTGGGCACCTAGGCGGCAGCACTGCGCCCGCAGCCCTCGAGGGCCAGCGACAGCAAGCAGGGGCCAGTCTCGCGGAAGGGGTGGAGACTCGACCCGCAAGTGGGCCCAGGACGCAGGCACCCCACCAAGACCTCTGCCGATGACGTGGGGGCCCCGGCGGAGTGCACCCCGCTGCCCTGCCCCGTCCGGCTCACCTGTGTTGGAACGTGGGAGCGGAGGGGGCCTGGCCGTGCCGGCGGCTGGCACCGAGAGGGACTTGTACAGGGCCGTGTCCCGGTGCTCCTTGAAGCGCTCGGCGGCCATGAGCGCGTTGGACAGCTCCTGCAGAGGCATGTTGTTGATGTCCGAGGAGAAGGGGCTGAGCGGGTTCTCCAGGCTCATCAGCCAGCTCGTGTTTCCTGAGGACAGTGGGCGGGACCCTCAGGCTCTGCTGCCCGGGAGCCCCCAGTGCTGTCCGAGGCGGGCGAGCATCTGGGCTCCCTGGGCCGGCCTCGGGATCCGGTCCCCAGAACTACTGCCTCCCCCTCCCCCCAGGTCAGCACGTGTACCAAGGACAGGCCACGCCTCAGCCAAGTCTCCCAAGAGCCTCGCAACCCAGCCCCGGGCCTACCCACACAGCCCCGGGCCCAATCCCGGGCCCTGCCTGCTCAACCCAGCCCCGGGCCCTACCCACACAGCCCCGTCCCCAATCCCGGGCCCTGCCTGCTCAATCCAGCCCACGGTCACCAGTCCCCAATCCCGGGCCCTGCCCGCACAACCCAGCCCCCAGTCCCCAATCCTGGGCCCTGCCCGCACAACCCAGCCCCCAGTCCCCAATCCTAGGCTCACACAACTCCATACCCGTCCCAAGCCCTGAGCCCTGCCTGCACAATCCAGCCCCCAAGTACTCAGGTCTTTCTGGTAAACCCTTTCTATTGGCTGAAATACCCCTGATGTCTCTACCCACTCCAAATCCTGCCCTAATTCACAGAACCTCAGAGTGACCGTATGTGGAAAGGCTCTGGGTGGAAATGCCTTGTGTCTATGCCAATCCTGGGCCTGAACTCAGAGCCTGAGCGCTGTTCCTGAACATCTTTGTTCAAGCCTAGACCGTGTGAACCACAGCTCCACCTCCCACTTTTTTGGTGATTAATTAGAAGTCCCAGAAACTTTGCTACCCAGCTGGCTTTGCACCGTGACCCTCAGGTCTCAGTCTCCTGAACAGTCAGGATTACAGACTTGAGCCTCCAATGCCTAGAAAAACTTGTTTTTTGGATGGTTGGTTGGGACAGGCTTAGAGGTTGAACTGGGGCGTCTGCTTGCTGAGTGGACAAAGACCATCCTTTTGGTCTTGAGAGTCACTGCGGGAGGCCCTGAGACGCGAGCCCCCGGGTCAGTCTGGTGATGCTCTCAGCAGGCTAAGGAGACCTGGACTCAGGCCCGAGGCACCGTGTGAGCGAGCAGGGAAGCATTTGTCCTGGGCCCACGCCCCGGCCCCAAGACCCAGGACCGTGCGGGCAGCCACCCCACGTGCCGTGCTCCGCAGGGCGTCCTGCGCCACCCGACACCGCCTCGCTTCTCCCCACCCCATCCCCCGAGGCCCGTGCCTGCCTGTGGGGACACCGCGGTGGGCCTGGTACCTGTGGGCCTCCGCACCAAGATCTCAGCCCAGCCCTGGGTCAGCAGGGGCACGTAGGCGGCCAGGTTCGTCTTCTCCGGAGCCGGGGCCTGGGCGCCCGCAGCGCTCTTCTCGGCCTTGGCTGCTGGGGCGCTCTGCTGTGCCCCCGGAGTAGGGGGGCCACCTGCGACCTGTGAAGCCGCTGTGTCCAGGGCGCCCACGCGAAGGCCGTGGCCCCCTGAGGGAGAGGGGCGCGGCGGCTGATGAGGAGGACTGGCCGGCCAAGAGGCGTCGGGCCCAAGCCCTCGGGCCTGGCTTTGACCGGTGGGAGCCTCGTCACCCACGGTAGAGGGCCCCAGCTTTCTCGGGGGCCACGCAAACACCCAGCACACCAGCAGCCCTGGGCCCCCCCCCTCGCTTCCTGCCCCACCAGAGCCAACGCCGCGGTGAGGCTCAGCAGGTAGCGGCCAGGCCTGACGCCAGAGCCACCTGGTCCTCAGCCCTACGGCACGTTCCCGGGCACCGAGAAGGCGGAGGCTCACCTGACATGGACCGGACCCGGGCCCGGGCCCCATGGGCCACCTGCTGTCCGGTCTGCGACTCCAGCTTGGCAGGTGCCTCCTTTGTCTGCCTCACATGTGCACCGGGCTGGGAGCTGAGGAGGGAAGCGGCTGTGCGTGTGGTCCACCGGGGTGGGAGTGGTGAGACCAGCAGGG